TTGGATAGCTTCCTTAAGCTTCCAACAGTTTTCCGGTGAGATGGCCCCTACCTTGGTGATACTTACAGTGTGCGTTGGGGTTCCAATTAGCCGACCTCTTTTCGACTGGTGGGTCCCCAAATGGTCCAATAGGAGTTATAAGACCTTTTGCATTTAATCGATCAAATGCGGTGTCATAACTCATGCCAATAGGAGTAAAGTTTCTCCTAAATGGTTTCTTTTGTCCTTGATTGTTGATAGCAAGGACTTCACCTAAATTAAAAGTGCTAACGTTGTTTGAGTGGGTGGTTTTGGAAGAAGAAGGATTGTCGTTCTTCTTTCCTTTCCAGCCACTGTTGGAGATATTGTTGGCAGCTTTTAACTTAGTCAGGTCGTCTTCAATATTGATCCCAATGTCATAGACGGCCTTGAAGGTATGGAGATTATTTTGATACTTGAGATGCTTGGAATATTTTTCTTGAAGGTTTTTGATGAACAACCTTACAGACTCTTTTTCACTTGGCACCTCAATCATCTTAGCTGAGGTTTCTCTCCATTTGTTAAAGAAAGAGGTGAAGCCTTCGTTCTCTTTCTGCTTGAGGATTTCAAGTTCTCTATGGTCAGTCTCAACTTGAATGTTGCACTTGTATCTATCAACAAAAGCGTTTGCTATATACTCCCAGGTAGAGGTCTTTTCTTTTTCGAGAGAAAAGAATCATTGTTGGCAAACGGTCTCGAGAGATAGTGAGAACAGAGAGGGGAAAACCTTCTTATCGATACCCTTAATACTCATTATTGTTTCGAATGCTCTTAAATGAAAATAAAGGTTATCAGTTACTTTGAATTTCGGGATGTCGTTGGCATTGAACTTCTGCGGAAGAAGATCTTTGTCCACCGAGACCCCTTGTGAAGTAAGCCCTTGAAACTTGTAGTCGTTAGATAGCTTGCTTAGACTTTCTTGCATGAGGTCCATTTGTTGTTGTTTCACAGGATCATCGATCTTAAGTGTCAGTGCCTCAGTCACGGTAACCAGTTGGTTCCTAAGCTCATTGACTTCTTCTTGTGTTGCCATTATGGTCTTAGCTTTCCTCTTACGAGCTATGGGTTTGTCGAAAAGTTGGACTTGTACAAAGAGATTGTCTTTGATTAACCGTCCTTCCTTTCTTGACCACGCGCTGTAATTTAAACCATTTTGTGTTTTAATTACTTGACTCAAATCGACTTGACTTTACGGTTTTTTAAAGAGGAAAAAATAAAAATGGGTGCATATTTTTGGCAAAAATTAGCAAAAATAATGTATGTATTTTTAGGGAACTAAGTATAGTTTTTAAATTGGAGGATTAATATCCGACTTACCCCCCTAAAAAAAATGACGGAAAAAAAACGCGCGTACAAGGCTCTCTTAGACATGGTCAAAGTGTGTGTATTGGTGTGTGCGTTGAGTGTAAGTGACATGCTTGGACTCTTGTGTAAGACCATGGGACTTAGTGCCTAAACTCGATTAAGGACTCAACCAAGTACTATTGACAGCGAAAATTAACCGAATTAATTAGCAAACTGGTTAATTAGACTCTAGGTGATGACTCGACCAATAATCCGAACTGTCGGCAAAACGACAAGACTGGGGTCGCACTGTGTAGTGTAGCGCCAGACGACAGAGCTGTCGCCAGGCGCCACACTCCACAGAGTGGTGCTACAGTCCAGACTTTGGCGCCAATACTGGAGCTTCAATCTGAGACTGTTTTCGGTGTTATTAATCAACAGGGGCATGCCTAAAGTCGTACTAGGTCAATTCTGATTAAAATATTAGACTTTATTAACTCGAATTAATTAATTAATTAAATAGGCAAAGTTCTTTAAGTTATTAATTTATTTAATCTCAACATAAGTCAAACAAACGGTTAAGAGAAACATATATATGCACAACAAATAATGCACAATTAGTCAAGTAGGCACAATATGATGCAATGAGTTTGCAACCTAACCATGGCTCTAGTTCTCTAAAGTTCGTGATATGGTTTAGTCAATAGAGGGTCCATGGTTAATTGTCCTGATGCACCGCGCGGAAGCCTAACCGTGAAGGGTTGGCGCGAGTGGATGGGACACCGAGAGTTTTAGAAAAACTCGCTTCCATGGTTTGGTGAATTCAACAATCTCAGATGTACCCTTTGTTGCTCAGAGCGTTCAATCAGGTAGATGGTGCATGAATTCCCAGAGGGTTATGTCCATATGTAGAACACATATGGGTTTCGGAAAAGTGAGAAAAACTCAATCAGGAAGTAGGATCGAGCAAACAATACGAAAGCTGGTCGAAATTAGAACGCATATTTTTGGCTCGATATTGGAAGAATTTGGCGCCAGCAAACAGAGCTTGGCGCCAAGTTTTAGCTGTAGCGCCTGGCGCCGATGTTGGCTTCTAGCGCTACGGTTAAAATTCTGGCGCCAATCCTTTGGTCGCTGACGCTAATTCTTACATGCCTCATCAACTTTCTGTGCTCGATAAAATTTTCCAGTTTCGCGCAGTGTTATTTCGGTCCTAGTTGTGAAAGATATTCCTCAAATTTCCTACGTGTAAAATCCTATGTTTTTAACTCATTACGGATGGTCTTTCCAATGAGATCTTTTTTATGCATATGAAAATAATGTTAATCAAAATTACGCACATGAAATACTTAGAACGTTTCGAGTCTCATCCACTCATTCTAAATCATTGCCGAAACAAATTCAGGAATTAAAATAGAAATCCTCCCCAGTGGAGTCGCCAAAAACTGTAGGGAATAATTCAAGCGTTAATCCCCTAGCTTGAACCCCACTGTGATCATACACTAAAGTACGGTGGCGTCTAAAGGGAAAGAATATAGAGCAAAAGAGTCGCCAACAAGTTTTTTTTTAGGAACTTGTAAACCGTTCACAAGGTGAAGGTTACACCCCTTAACGATCCAAGAGATCGTCAAATCCATAAGGTCTTGAACCAAATAAGGGCTCGGGGATGAAGGTACAAATCCAACCTAAAAGAGATTGAACCTGCCCTAATAATAGGCCTCTACTTTGTTCTAATCGTATTCATGTGCGCTTTCTGACTAACATGCAATCAATAGGATTAACCCTAAACCTGTTTATCTATGTTGGTTGAATATAATGCACAAACAAAACTATTATTGGCGATCACTTGAATTATAATCAAATTAACCCTAAACAAGATTATTAAATATCTTATTAAGCGTGATTACAAGTACAAATTCCCTTTAAACATGCATAAAAGGTGTGATCAAGCAATAACAATAAATATAGCATCAAGCAACATAATAATAATCATAATAATAATAATTAAAATAATCATGGTCATAAATTATAACAATTATAATCATAATTAACATAATCATGTTAAAGCATAATAATAATAGCAAGATCCTAGGCATGATACTAACAAGATTAATAACAAACTCTAGCATGTCACTAAGCAATAAAGATCAAAGCTTTAACCCTAAAATGATACTAACAATCATAAATATTAGGAAGAACATATAAGGCATCATACTTTTAATCATACTTGGTATTAAAGTTACCCTAGACATTATACTAGGAATATCATAATAACAACCTAAACATGATTTCTATGTCATAATATCAATTAAAACCATTAAAGCCCTTACTTTGATGCCTCGTACCTCTTTCTAATAACAAAATACACACGTTAGTAACTTCAAGGAAAATAATGATTATAACAACAATTAAATTAAATAATTGAAAGAGTGATTTGGGACCAACCCCTCAGAAATTAAACCTTTCACGTCTAGGGCGAAGGCAACTTCGAATATGGCTAGATGTTTCTAAATCTAATGAGTGCAGAATTTTTATATTTGAGAGAAGCTAGTTTAGAAAAGAGATAGAGAGAGAGTAAGATGATAGATTGTGGATGATTGTGGATTGTAGGTGAAAACTGGTTATCGAAAACGGAGTTGTTAATACGTTATTTATAGAAAAAATCAGCCAAAAAAATAAAATATCAAAACAGAGTCTGGCGCACGTAAAACTAAACCAGCGCCAACGCTGGCTATTGGCCCTAGGCACCAACATTAGCGACAGGCGCCAAGCATAGCGCCAGGCGCTACAGTTAGCGTTTGGCGCTGATCCAGAAAATCACGCGTTTTCTTAAAATCAGATAAAAATTGTCGTACAGGAGGATAAAATCGTATTTCCCTCAAAAAATGTTCTTTGATTTTAATTAACTCTGAAGAGTCAACAAAACTCAATTTATCAATGCTAATTGAATTAGGAATGAAAAGAACCTTCTAGAAGAATCTAGAAGACTAAAACCATTCCTAATTGCATTAGGAATGATAAATCTATATTAGGCCCTCCCCTAGATCATTGGGCCGCATATAAGGCTCAAACCGGGCCCAGTTCAGTAATTGGCCATAACTTCCTCAATATTCATCGGAATTGGGCTTATAATATATCGTTGGAAAGCTCTTGTCAAGCCCCATCCAACTACACTACTATTGTACCCATATCATGGACCAACCAAACTGGATTGGCTGTTTTCTTAAAATAAGTTTTGAAAAACAAAGAGTAAAGAAAAGAAATTAAAACTATCCGCAACACTAAACTTTCCACACTTTCACTTCATTAGATTATGATTCGACGTGAAAGGTACTCATCACTAGGTTTGGTTTTGGGGAGACACAAATGGGTGTCTACAATGTGCTGATACCCCCTTAGTCCAATAGTCTAGACAATATCAAAATAGCGTATTATGCAAAGTCATTCAGTGTTCGAACCTTGCGACCTTTTCAATTTTACAAAATCATATTTTATTGGGAAATTCTACATGGTGGCCCTCAACTTCCGTAATTTCTATTTGGTGGAAAAATAAAATCAACTTAGTCTCCAGTGAACCCCAACTTTTGTTAAACTCTAAATAGTGGCCTAATCTCACTTAAAATAGGTTAATAAGTGGATTATGGCTATCTTTTTAACCTTATTTGCTGCAATTAATAACTTACCCCTATTTTAACACTTATCTCCTAAATCATTAATGTTGACTTAAACACTCACCCCAATTCAACCATTACGCAAATGATCAGAGCAGTAACTGTTCATCTTCTCTTTCAAATTTGCGATTTTAATATGTTAAAAAAAACAAAACTTTTGATGGAATTAATCAATTTGTGGATATTATTTGGCGTTATTTTGTAATTGCACACAAATTCTATCTGACATAGTCAATTTGCGGGAGTATTTTTTGATCGATTTTTAGGGTTAATTTTTGGGAATTGCCGTGAAAATTGGTATTCGCGACTGAAGATCAATTGTTCGAGGCAACTTTGAGGTAAAGTTATAAACTTTGAACCTTGTGTTAGTAATTGTAGCCATATATGCTTATTAGGTCGACTTAGTACTCTGTTTTTGTATGCATCATTTATGTACTGGTTTTATTTGGCTTTTTGCATTGTATTGCTATTGTTCTTGTTTTTTAATTTTGGAGATGATTTGCATATCTAAAATGACTTGTATTTGTATGTTTTATTTGTTAGTGCAGAATGGATCCAATTGTGTTAAAGTTTCAGAGTGTTGTACATGTGGTTGATGTTGCAATTGATGATGTAGACAAAGTTATGTGGATTGACTTAATTATAGAGTATGAAGAATTGTTTAGGAAGAACCGTTACATGATGCCTAAACACCCTACTTTTAATTACTGCTATAATAAGAAACATATCCCTATAATGAGTGATAGTGATTTAATGTCAATGTTAGAAAGGTTAGGAAGCAAAAAGGTGATCATAGTTTATGTGGGATCAGGGAGTGAACCTTCTGATTGTGTTGTAGCTGCTAGGAATCTGACAGAAAGTTAAAAGAAAAATACACACATACATTTTGGAGTTGAACCACCTAAGTCTAACAACAAAGAAATAGATGATATGTCTAGTCAAAATGATGAAGAGTGGACTGAACAAAATGATATTTTGTTAGATATGCATGATGTTATATTAGATAACTTGGCAAGAGTAGAGGAAGAAGAAGAACAAGGAAGGAGTCATTTAAAGAAGAATAAAGGTAAAGAGGGGGCTAGTGTGTCAAAACCTAGGGCTAAGAGGTTGAAAGTTACGAGAAAACTCCCACCAAATGAACCAGTAACCCTTGCTGCCACAACTACCTTCTCAAATGCTCCAGTAGTTGACACACCAAACCTGTATACAACATCTTCTCACAGTAATTCATTACTTCTTCATAAGATTCCTAAGAGTACAGCTGCCAGGAGAGGTTTGCTTAATACTTCTCATCAAATTGAAGCACAAGTGATAACTGAAAAGGAGCATGGAGAAAGTAGCATGCAATTTTCTGCAGATAATGAAGGTCCTGGTGGTGTTAGGAATGAAATTCATGATGTGTTAGAAAGGGAACATGGTAGTGATGAAGTTCATGATGTGTTAGAAAGGGAACATGGTAGTGATGAAGGAGATGGTTGGTTTGGGGAGATTAATGACAATTATGATCCTTATCTGTCTGACAAGTGGGAGAGTGAACTAGTTGATGATGACAATTATTTCAGCAAAATGTATAAGAATGGGGAATTTGCTGATGCTACAGAATTTGGAAGCATTGTGTTGAAACCATGGATGATCTTTAATGACAAATCACACTTTATTTTTGTACTTAGAGATTACTATATCCAATGTGGTTTTGCTTTAGTAGTAGATAGATCAAGTCCAACCAGGTTTACTGCTCAATGCTTAGAGTTGAATTGTAACTGGAGGATTCATTCAAGTGTACTCCCTTATGGCACTACATGGGCTGTTAAGAGTATACAAAACTCTGAGCACACTTGCAGGGGTTTAGATTAGAGAAATCCATTGGTAAATGTAAAGTGGGCAGCAAGTAAGCTAATTGAAGATATAAGGGCTAACAATGACATCACTGGAAAAACATTGAATGATTTACTATGGAGCAGGTATGGGGTTCAAATGGCTACAAGTATTGTACAAAATGAGGAGTATGACACTTAGAGAGATTAATGGTGGTCATGATGAATCATATGGCCATCTTCCTAGATATTGTGAAATGGTTAAGCAAACCAATCCTGGTTCAGCGGCTTTTTGTGCTTGGAAACAAAGAAATGATCCACCAAGGTCTCTAGTTTTTTCCAGCATTTTCATCTCATTCAAAGGGGTTATAGAAGGGCTGGCTGCAGGGTGGATGGTGCTCATTTGAAGGGAAATTATGGAGGTGTCCTTTTATCAGCAGTTGCTATAGATGGGAATAATGAACTCTATCCCTTTGCATGGGCTATAGTTCCAGTTGAAGATGGAGAATACTGGAAGTTCTTTATTTGGCATTTAAAGAACATATTGAATTATTGCAACAGAGGAAATGAATGGTGCATTATATCTGATAGACAAAAAGTAAGAGTTCTAGAACTTAATTCATTCCTTTTCTTTATTCTGTATATTGTATCATGTTTAACCTAATATCCAATTATATACCATGTCCAGGGAATAGATCTTGCCTTAACTGAGTTGTGGCCAGAAGTAGGGAGGAGATATTGTTGCAAACACTTGGCTAAGAATTGGAAAACCTCTTTTCCTGGTCCTTTGATGCATTCTCTACTCTGGATAGCATGTAGTGCTACTTCCCCATTCACCTTTAGAAAGGCAATGGAAAGGATACAAAAGACAAACAAGCTTGCACTGATATGGCTATCTAAACTAGGAGACCAATCGAGGTGGTCAAAACATCAATTTGACCCTAAGATATGTAGTGATGAGAACAAGACTAACTTTGTGGAGAGCTTCAATGCTACACTAGGGATTGAAAGATGCAGACCTGTGTTGACTTTATTGGAAGGTAAACTAATTAAAAAAAAAAAATTGATTTGATTATAGTGAACAAAAACTAACTTGGATTTGCATCTTATTGTGTGACTCAGCTATAAGAAGGATGTGCATGGTGAGGATAGCAGCAAGAAGGCATAAACGTAAAGCTTGGAATGAATCACAGCCATGTCCTAATATTGTCAAGAGGATTCAAAAGCTCATGCTTGATTCTAGATCATGCAAAGCCTTCGAGAGTAAAGAAGGAGAGTATGGGATTAGGGAAGGAAGATCAATGCTTCCTGTGTCATTGAACAAAAATAGTTGCATTTGTGGGGCTTGGCAGATCTCTGGGATACCCTGTAAGCATGCATTAAGAGCAATATTGTATGCAGGACATGATCCACACAATCCACACAGCTATGTTAGCACATGGTACTCTGTAGCAGCATATAAACAAGCTTATGGGCCTGCTATCAACTCAATCCCAGATCCTGAACATTGGCCTCAAATTGACCAGCCCACCATTAATCCTCCCCCAATGAGAAGAGGCATTGGAAGGCCATCTAGACAAAAGAGAAGAGCAGATGATGAGCCAGATAAGGGTAAAAGATCTAGCACAGTTCAATGCTCAAATTGCAAGGCATATGGGCATAATTTAAAGACATGCAAGGGTGGTTTGAGTGAAAAAGAGAAAGCATCACTGGGTTTTGTCATTGACCAACATAAGAGACAGAAAAAAAGGTCATCCATTTGGTTCCCAGACAACTCAACCAACAGGATCTCAACCCTCAACAAGCCAACCAACTGGTTCTCAACCCTCAACAACACAAAGAAGGAGAAAGACCAAATCTCAACCAAGCTCTACATCTCAACCACTGCAAACTTCAACCAGGATGCAAACTATAAGCTCAACCTTGGTTTTTTCTCAGCCACAAGTTGCTGCTCATTCATCTCAGGCCACATACAAAAGTAAAGGCAAAGGGAAACATAAAGCCTAGATGTTTTTCATATTTGATTCATAGTAGTTTTAAGTTAGCTTCATATTTTCATGGATATTTGATTTCAATTAGTTTTAAGTTGTAATAATCTGGTTAAACTCAAGTCTTTTGCTATACTAAACTGAGTTATTGGTAATTTTTTACTAATTTTTTTACTCATCATTCAAGTGTTTAATTGCATTTGCAAATTATAGTTTTTTGCATGTGTTGTTCTTTAAGATATTCAACTTTACTCTATATAATCCAAAAACAATGTAAAACCAACATAAATTGGAAGGTAATAATTAATAAAAGGGAAATTTTATTCATTAATATAACTGATTACATCAGCTTAATTGTAATTGGAGCAAATCCTTACATTTTGCATCTAACCCAGATTATCATTTCAATAAGATTAATAAGCTAATAACAACGACACCAACAACTATCTTCAGAATTAGATTAAAGCTACTGCGCATATCTCCAACAATCTTCTGAATTTTTTGTAGGAATGCAATTACATGGCTTCATCTTCACCCAATTGAAGCAACCATCAGAAGCGCACCTATACTTTGATGTAATTAAACGAAAATTCATGCGTTCGCGCAGCGAACCCGAATGAACTGGTAACCCTTCATGGAATGAATTACAATGGTAATTTTTAAATATAACTGGTAACCTTAAAGCTGCCCCGAACAATTGATCTTTAGTCGCGAATACCAATTTTCACGGCAATTCCCAAAAATTAACCCTAAAAATCGATCGAAAAATACTCCCGCAAATTGACTATGTCAGATGGAATTTGTGCGCAATTACAAAATAACGCCAAATAATCTCCACAAATTGATTAATTTCATCAAAAGTTTAGTTTTTTTTAACATATTAAAGTCGCAAATTTGAAAGAGAAGATGAACAGTTGCTCTGATCATTTGCGTAATGGTTGAATTGGGGGTGAGTGTTTAAGTCAACATTAATGATTTAGGAGAGAAGTGTTAAAATAGGGGTAAGTTAGTAATTGCAGCAAAATATCGTAATAACAAAACATACTTTTTTTTTTTTTATTTATTTGAAGGGAACAAAGATATACTTTTAGATGTGTAACTCTTTTATATTTAATAAAAAAAAAAAGTACCTTAAAAAAGAAAGTATTTTTCAATGGTCTAATAAACAAACCCCTTGAGTTATGATGGATAGTCATCTTGTGTTCGAATCTTGTGGAGGTACAAAAGAAACACATTTTGCTTTTTTATTTTTTTTTTTATAAATTTTCATTTTAAGTATCATTTTTGTATTTAAAAAATCATAACTAATTGTTATCAATTTAAAAGGAATCATATTTGTATATATAAAGTCAAAACATACACCATATTTTAAAGTGAAAAAAAAAAAATCAGATCAAATAAATCTTTTTATATTAAATGTTTTGCATGTAATTATTTGTATAATGTGTCCAATCAATTATTTTTTGGCATAATTTTTTTTTCTAGAAAATAGAATAAAATAATAAGCCAGGAAATTTAGTCTAATAGATACAATATAAAAATTAATTTGTTTTCATCCAATGTATGTGTTGATACCCCTTAGTCTAGTACAGAGTAATAAACAAACCCCTTGAATGACTATGGATAGTTGATCTGTGTTTGATTTTTGTGGAGGTATAAAGATACACGTTTTGATTTTTTATTTTTTTTTATAAATTTTCATTTTAAGTATCATTTTGGTATTTAAAAACTCAAAAATAATTATTATCAATTTTAAAGGAATCATATTTGTAGTTCTAAAATCAAAACTTACACCGTATTTCAAAGTCATGAAACTTATTGGAACTTTGTAACACCTTATCAAACTTATTATACCTTATTGAACTTATCAGACCTTACTGAACTTATTTGAACTTAGTATTCCTTATTGGACCTTATTAGTACATGTATCCATCATTCGGATTAAAATCGAAATTTAATCAAATCAAAACTTAATTTTTAATTCGGATCGAATCCGAACTTTAAATCGAATTGGATCGGATTGATTTTTTTTGAAAATTTGGACGTTCGAAATGGATTGGATTGACCTTGTTTGAATCCAAAAAAAGCGAAATAAAGTAAATATGAAATCGTTAGTTTATGAATAAGTATTGATGTTAATATAATCATGCTAAACTATGATTATAATTATAACTATTTATCATGTAACCTACCTACGTTTTCAATACTTCTATTAATAGTGCACAACTATAATTTTAAGAATTAATTTTTCATTATTGTATTTTAATTTTTATCATCACATTAGGCCCAAAATATTTGCAACGTGTTTTAATTTGCACTCTCGTATCGAGTCCAAATAAATGAATTTTAAATCGGTTTGAATCAGATTGGATTTGGTGAGGAATTCAGATCAGGTTGGATTTGATAATTGAAAATCAAAATTTATTTCGGATCGGATTGAATTTGGGCTAAATTCAAACTAAAAACCAAATGGACACCCCTACTAATTAGACCTTATTATTAGATTTATTAGAACTTATTGAAATTAATTAGACCTTATTATTTAACTTAATGTAACTTAATAGACCTTATTTAACTTATTGGATATTATTATAACTAATCTGAACTTATTAGACCTAAAACTTATTTTTATAAGGTGAAGAGAACAAGCCCTTAGTGAATGACGGTGTGGTTTTAAATTTGAATGCCTATTAATATATCTCACTTTGATTAATATATTTAAGATTGAAAAATGAATTGAGGATCCTAACACTTTTATTAATATCTAATCATATTTCAATTTCTAGTATATATTCCAGGCTATAATTTGAAAATGAAATTCTTATTTTAGTATCATCAATTTTCAATTATTTTTAGCCCTTCACTAATGTTATATTTTTACCCCTTCTTGACTTATATGCAAAGTATTTATAATGATGAATTCATGTTAATATCTCTTACCATTTCAACTTTTATTTCTTCCTTTACAATAAAGTGCGCGTACAATAGATTTTGAATTTTATTATCTAAATATTTTTATGACAATAGAGCCCTGATTAAATTAATTTCATTGGTATAATTTTCAATTTTATTTCGGCTATTCCTAGTTTACTAAGAATCCACCGTGACTTATTTTAATATTACTTATAATAAGAGTTATTAAATGTTTATACTAGTCAAGTATATTAGTTTAAAAAATAACAATAAATTTTGCATTGTTAGTCTGATCTTATAAAATATAATGGTCATGAGATCAAATATTCAATACATTCATTTTATTTATATTTTTATTGCACGTAGTCGATGTTGAATGAAACAAGATGCAGAGTCAAGTGGTGCCATAGACTTGTTTTTGAATTATATTTCTTGGTATCAAGTTACTAATAAAAGTATTCACTGAATATTTTTATTATCAGTAGATGAATGAATTTATCACATTTTATTATATTGAAGGAGATGGAGAAACTTTAGGTATTAGCTAATGGTGAAAAGGGAGATTACTTTTTCTCTCCAAATTACAATTTCCAAAGCTAAATGTCAGTGTCACGTGAAATTTTACCACCATTAAGAGTTCATTGAATGGGATTTTAGCGAAAATCTTCCCTCATGTTATTTTAAGTAAAATTTAATGTTAAGTAATAATTTTTGGTTTTATAGAATTATAACTAACAAAAGTAATGAACTAATCATTTATGTTTTACAAAAATCGAAATTAACAAACATATTTGCTCAAACTCTTTTTTTTTCCTTTTTTGGTTTGATAACTTTACAATTTTACGTAATCATATTTGTTTTTAAAATATCAAAATAACAAAGTCATATTGTAGACACCCAAATGTGTCTCCCAAAACCAAACCCAGTGATGAGTACCTTTCGCGTCGAATCATAATCGAATGAAGTGAAAGTGTGGAAAGTCTAGTGTTGCGGAGAGTTTTTAATTTCTTTTCTCTTCTCTCTGTTTTTGAAAACTTATTTTAAGAAAACAGACAATCCAGTTTGGTTGGTCCATTATATGGGTCCAATAGTAGTGTAGTTGGATGGGGCTTGACAAGAGCTTTCCAACGATATATTATAAGCCCACTTCCGACAAATATTGAGGAAGTTATGGCCAATTTACTAAACTGGGCCCGGTTTGAGCATTATATGCGGCCCAATGATCTAGGGGAGGGCCTAATATGATTTATCATTCCTAATGCAAATAGGAATGGTTTTAGTCTTCTAGATTCTTCTAGAAGGTTCTTTTCATTCCTAATTCAATTAGCATTGATAAATTGACTTTTGTTGACTTTTCAGAGTTTTAATTAAAATCAAATAGCATTTTCGAGGAAAAGATACGATTTTATCCTCCAGTACGGCAAATTTATCTGATTTTCGAAAACGCGTCAAAAAAGGACTAGCGCCTGACGCCATGCATTGGCGCCTGGCACTAGGACCTGGCGCCTGGCGCTGGCATTGGCGCATGGCGCCAATGAGCTGGTGCTGGCGCTAGCTCTGTTTTAGGTGCGCCAGATGCTCTGTTTTGTTAATTTTATCTTTTTGGCTGATTTCTCTATAAATAACGTATTAAAAACTCCGTCTCCATTCACCTACAACCAGTTTTCATTCATCTTTCTCTCTTTCTACAACTTGCTTTTTACATACAAAATTCCGCATTTGTTAGATCTAGAAACACCTAGCCATATTCGAAGTTGCCTTCGCCCTAGACGTGAAAGGTTTAATTTCTGAGGGTTTGGTCCCAAATCTCTATTTCGATTATTTAATTTACTTGTTTGTTTGATTATTATTTTCCTTGAAGTTACTAACGTGTGTAATTTGTTATTAGAAAGAGGTACGAGGCATCAAAGTAAGTACTTTAATGGTTTTTATTGATGTTATGATGTAGAAATCATGTTTATGTTGTTATTATGATATTCCTAGTATCATGTCTAGGGTAATTTTAATATTAAATATGATTGTTACGATGCTTCCTATGTTCTTCCGAATATTTATGATTGTTAGTATCATGTTAGGGCTAAATATTTGATTTTTATTACTTAGTGACATGCTAGGATTTGTTATTAATCTTGTTAGTATCGTGCCTAGGATCTTGCTATTTTTATTATGCTTTAACATGATTATGAATATTATTATTGTTATTGTGATGATTATTATTTTAATTATAATTATCATGATTATTGTGATTATGAT